GAATACAGTAAATTAATTAAATAAAACTTTGACAAAACACAATTGTGACAGTTTTGACAAAAGCCCACAAGCAAGTCAATCCCAACCTGAAGTCACGTGCACATAGAGGTGACTGTATTTCCTTCCATACATGTTAGATGCTTCACACTGGTAGAGGCCATTCAGTTCAGAGGAAATGCTCAGTAAGTGTAGCCTTGAACCCTCTGCTCTGGCAGCAGACTGAGGCCACACCTGGCCCGATCTGGAACAGACAAACACGCCTCAGCATAAATTATAGAGTAACAGCCACAGAGCAGAAAAATGTTCTAAACGAACAAAAATGTACCAAAAATACCACAAAAGATAAAAAGTTTTATGTGCTGCTAAATCTGTCCCTGTTTCCAGTTTTAGTTCATCTAACCAGCTGCTGGCTACCATATTTGCTAGTAGTTTAAGCCATAATTATAAATTCTCTATTTCAGAGTTTTTCACATTAGTAAAACCAGTGCACTTATTGTAAATGATTAATTTCAGATATAATCAAAATTTAATTTCAGAATATAGAATTCAAACTCATTCAAATTCATTTGGTTAATGCCATGACTCTTTCATCATTGTACAAAGCCTGTGAGAATGACGAGCCACACAATGCTTCTAGGTAAACGATGTTGAAAGTAAAACACGAACTTGGTTTAGTCAAATGACTTTACCTGCTCCAGGTAAAGTTTGCATTTGGGTTGGCTTCAGCTACACATTCAAATGAGTCTGGGGATCTTTCACTAATGTTCACTTCCAAGGGTGAAACTGCAAGAAACAGGGAGAGAGCGAATGTTATTCCTGTACTTGATAAATACAAAGATAACAACAATGTTATTCCTGTACTTGATAAATACACAAGCAACATTGTGCTGATACACAAGGTCATTTTCACTGCAAAACCTGAAAAACTGTTAGGTCAGCTTGTTTCCCCAGTGAACTGGCTGCATTTGAAAGACTGCTATTGTCTGAATTGTTCTCAGTATGTGAATCAAGGTCAGTGTTACACATCACATAGGTATGAGACAACAGAATGAAATCATATCTGTGCTTCTCTACAGGGAGTTACTGCAGGTCATAACACTATCTCAGTTTCTTTGTGTGAAGCTGGGTTGATTGTTACAGGTGGAGCTGGTTGGGGAATTTCCCCAGAAGCTGCAGACAAGAAATATAACACAAATAATATGGCTGCATTTATGCAGTTGCTGTTGATGACTTTTTTCAAACTCTAAATACTATAGCTGACTGAACAAGTAAAATAAACATTATCTACCTTTAGATCTCAGTTTAGGCCAACTATTACAAAATATTCACTTGACCCTGGCAAAAATATCAAGACAAGCATTCATCCAACTTAGTGTATGGGAGTGTCTGTTGCTTCCTAGCAATAACAATAACTCAGTGTCTTGTAGATTCCTCTGTGGCTATCTGGTGCAGTCATGCCCTTTCATCCCATGACCGCACCAGATGTTAAAAAAACATCGAAAAGAGGTGGGTTTTCAAAAGAGACTTAAAAACAGGCAAAGAAGAAGCTTGTCTGATAGACAGCGGTAAATCATTCCACAACTTGGGAACAGCAGCCGCAAAAGCACGATCATCTCTAAACTCTACAAAAAAACTGATTAACTGAACTCAAAGAACGCGTAGGCATATACCAGTGAACCAAATCAGATAAATAAGAAGGAGCAAAGCCGTGAAGAGATTTAAAAACAAATAAGATTTTATAGTGGATCCTAAAATAAACAGGTAACCAATGCAAAGAAGCCAAAACTGGAGAAATGTGTTCATATTTACTCATACTTGTTAAAAGGTGTGCTGCAGCATTTTTGACCATCGGGAGGTGGGTAATAGAAAACTCGCTAATTGCTAATCCCAAGATATAATGCATTACAATAATCCAATCGAGTGGTGATACAGTAAATGCATGAATAAGTGTCTCAAAGTGCCATCTAGAAACTACTGACTTTACTTTGGCCAACTGCCTTAGGTGAAAAAAACTAGATTTTATGACAGCCGCAACTTGGCAATCGAATTTAAGGTCGGGGTCCATCTTAACCCCCAGATTTGAAATACAATTCTTGTTATACTGAGCTAAAAAGCCCATGTCAATGGAGGGAGACCCAGCGGTACCACCGAAGACCATCACATCCGTCTTCTCTTCATTCAACTTTAAAAATTAAGTGCAAGCCAAGATTTTATGTCATCAAAGCATTTAAGCAGTGGCCTAACACAACAAGAATTTGTCTTTTTAACAGGTAAGTAAAGCTGGCTATTATCTGCATAGCAATGAAAGGAAATGCTATGTTTCCTAAGTATGGAGCCGAGTGGTTGCAGATAAAGAACAAGGGGTCCAAGAACCGCGCCTTGTGGAACCCAATACAAAAGAGGCTCAGAAGAAGACACAGCATTGCCAAGTTTCACACAAAAGGTTCTGTCCTTAAGATAAGACCGAAACATTCTAAAACAAGGTATATTTCTTACCTTGCTCCAGTGATGCATCACTGTTGGGGGTAGTTACATGTGCAACAACATGGGTCTGTACAAACCCACACAGCTGATTTAAAATATTTTAGTTAATTGTGTATCTTCTCAGTACTGTGCAAATACATACAGCCTATAACTGTGTCCAAAGTCACTGCCTGTTTTGCTATTATACTTATCCTATGCCATTTTAAATTTTAGGTGTCTAAACTTTGAATTTACACTGAACCACTATGTAGTGCCCTCAAAAACGTTGTGTTCAAACCATCTGAATGAATAAATAAATGGCTATATAGCAAAATGTTTCACACATAATGTGCTCAAACTGAAGTAAAACAAGTTCCATCTTAAAGTCTTTGTTATTCCCTGTTTGTACACTTTGACCGTTTAAAAGAGTTCACTCATGCATGGACTCTTATTAGAATAATTCTCAGCACAACTTTGACCACCTTCAACCTGGTGTGCAGGGCCTTTAATGCATTTCAAGTTTTTTTTTTACTCAAATACTCAAGAAATTCTTAAACTGATGATGATACAAATGAAAAACAATGATAAACGTCATGAGGAACTAAAGTAAGGAGGTTCTGTGTACTCACAGTAGACCTGTACAGTGAAGGGAAGGGTTTCCTCTTTCAATAGACCTGAAGTAGTGTTGATGAGACAACGGATCGAATGATGGTTGATTTCTTTGGTGGGTACTCCGAACAGCAAGCTGACCGTGGTAGTCGTACCATTATCATGTTTGGTGGAATCAATTGTTGCCCTCACTTTTTCAGTCAGAGTACCAGTGGCCCACTTCAAGGCCTGGAACCAGCGGCCGTGCCGGAAGCCAAGCAAACTTCTTCATTACCCAAAATGGGACGATTATCTGTGATGCTTGTTACTGGAGGCACTAGGAAAGTTACCACAGACAAAACATCAACGTGCATGTAGGAAGATAAGAACAAGATACTCTCTCTCTCTCTCTCTCTCTCACACACACACACACACACAGAGAAACAGAAAGCCAAAGCATTTTTAATATTAAATTTGAT